CAGTCCTGTTTGAATATAACAGTACAGTGGTACCCCGCAAGACGAACGCCTCGCGAGACGAAAAAACTCGCAAAACGAAAGGTTTTTTCGTTTCGAGTTGCCTCGCCAAGACGAATTTCCCTATGGGCTTGCTTCGCAAAACGAAGCTTGCCCCGGGACAGCGGGTCTTCTCTTTTGAAGCAAGGGGCGGCGGGGAGATCGCTTCTCCCCACCGCCCCTTGCTTCAAAAGAGGTCTGCCCCCGGACCTCTTTTGAAGCAAGGGGCTGCGGGGAGATCGCTTCTCCCGGTGCTCCGAAGCGGGGGTGGGGGGGCGGGAACACCTGCCCCAGCCGCCGGGGCTTCGTAGCGCTGCTGCGAAGCCGGGCGGGAGGCGGGAACACCTGCCCCAGCCACCCCGCTTCGGAACGCTGCTCCGAAGCGGGGGTGGGGGGGCGGGAAACACCTGCCCCAGCAGCCGGGCTTCGTAGCGCTGCTGCAAAGCCGCGGCGGGAGGCCGGGAACACCTGCCCCAGCCACCCCGCTTCGGAACGCTGCTCCGAAGCGGGGTGGGGGGGCGGGAACACCTGCCCCAGCAGCCGGGCTTCGTAGCGCTGCTGCTGAAAGCCGGGCGGGGGGCGGGAAACACCTGCCCCAGCCACCCCGCTTCGGGAACGCTGCTCCGAAGCGGGTGGGGGGGCGGGAACACTTGCCCCAGCCGCCGGGGCTTCGTAGCGCTGCTGCAAAGCCGGGCGGGGGCGGGAACAACCTGCCCCAGCCACCCCCGCTTCGGAACGCCTTGCTCCGAAGCGGGAGGTGGGGGGGAACACCTGCCCCCAAGCCGCGGACTTCGTAGCGCTGCTTGCGAAGCCGGGCCGGGGGGGCTGGGAACACCTTTCTGAGGCCAGGCGGGGGGGCGAAAGTTCTTTTGTCCCCCTGCCTGCCCTTCCCAGTGGCCTTTTAATCGCCCCGGACAGCGGAGAAGTCCTCCGCTGTCCCGGGGCGATTTTAAAATGGCCGCCCGCCAGCATCTTTAAAATCGCCCGGACAGCGGAGGAAGGTCCTCCGCTGTCCCAGGGTTTTTTTTAAAAGCTGGGGGGTGGAAGAAAAGCCCTTGTCCCCCCCCCAGCCTTCAGAAGGGTCCGGGGACAGTCTGTCCCCGGACCTGTCTGAAGGCGGTTTCCCTAGGAACGCATTAATTGATTTCAATGCATTCCTATGGGAAACCGTGCATCGCAAGACGAAAAACCGCAAGAACGAAGAGACTTACGGAACGAATTAATTTCGTCTTGCGAGGCACACTGTAAAGTGTGGTAGAACATTGCAAGATAATCAGGTGTGAAACCTGTGCACCATCCAAATCTATTTCTCTAGCCCCTTGAGCAGATGCGGGTGAGGTGCAGGGGGTCACATAAGGTAGCAGCAAGGAGCTTCTTTATATTAACTGGTATGTAACTTGTATAAAGAAAATAAATGATAACAGATGAGCTGGTTGTGTGGTTAGGGTATACAACCCAGGTCAGAGGCATGCATGAAGCTGAGGACTCAACCCTACCACATCTCCCTGCATATAACATTAGGGCATTTTGACTGAATTTTTTCGACCCTTCAAATTTTAAAAATGCGCAGTGCTAAAAAGGTTGTAACATGACTTGGGATTCAAAGTTATTCTGCTTAAATTAATATAATTTAGCCTTTGCTTGGTAAGTAAAGCATGCGTAAAATTTCATAGAAATCATTTAAAATGATTGCCTAGCACTTGCAGTTATATTATATATCAGTATTATTTCTTATTTCTTATTACTATTATTTAGCATTCCCTGGACATTTTCAGAAGGTGAAATTAAATTTCTTGGATTTCTGAAAGCAGTTCATGTGCTCTTTCATCAAACCTTGACCAAGCTGAGTGTTGTCCGACCACAAAACTTATAGCATATTTGAATTCCTCACACCAAAAAAAAGCGCATGTTTTTAAGATTCCTCACTGAAGTAAATGGCAAAAACTACATTGCACCCCCTAAAATGGCATGCCCTGATATAACATGTCACACAGAGTGAACCACTGCTCAAAAACAGCACAAATTCAGTGGAGTTGTACAGCTAGTAAAGCAAAGCCAAGAAAACTCTTGTCATTACCCCTAGCCCTTTCCAAAAACAGATAAGGAACTATTCCTGAATTTTCAACCATCTTTGTAAACTCTCCTGTGAGATGCTGGGAAAGGCAGCAGAGAGCTCAGAGGGAGAGTACATGTTCTGCAGTAGAATTACCTCAGCCTTGTAGCTGGTCAGAGTAGCTAATATGCGGCTGACCAATGGGCTAGCCTGGTATACAGTCAGTCTCCTGTGTTAATTGGAACTCACAACCACTAGAGGACACTGTGGCTCTTGCCTGTCACACCAGCTGCAAAGTAATTCAACCCAGCTGTTTCTTTGTACTGTCTTCATATCCAACAGGACCATCCTGCATTGTAGCAGGACCAGCACAATATTAAAGAAACCCAACATCATGGAAAAATGGTCCCTTACCACCACCACATACAACTAGATTTCAGTTCTTTTCTTGAGAGATATTCCTCACAATCAAACACATGGGCAGCTCAGATCTTTGACTCTTATGGCTGGCAGTAGATTCTTTAGTTGATTAATATCCAGCTTAAAGCCAGCTTAAAACTTACTTAAAACCATGGAGAGACCTGGTCTGAACAAAGACATTGGATTCTTATCTCATTATACATGACAAAGCCATTTTTCACCTTCTCACCCCTTGCTTTTTCCTGTAAGACCTATTGCAGTCGTTAAGAGTCGTCAACAGGCTCATCACAGCT